ATTGTACCATTTCCTTTTATGTACCTTTTGACTTGGATGTGATTATCGAAGATATAGTACGATATTACAGCTGTTTTGTTATAATCATAAAGTTTTCAGTAGGGCATACAAATCAGCTGACGAGGTAAATGGCTTTATTTTGTACAGACACTTCAAACATGGGTTGGATGTTGTTAAACACATACCTAGACAACGATATATAGGTAAATATACAACTGGAATGGCTGAGACATATATTATGCATGTCTAAGTCAACGTACCACTTTGTTTGGTATGAGAGTGAGTTGAGAAAAAACTAAGGACGATCAAACTCAAATGTGGCATCAGTCCATGAAGTTACTGGCTATTGAATCGGACAGTGTATGTGGGTGCAGACTACATAGCTAAGGTCCGCCTGATCAATTGCCGAAAACGAGTGACACGATCTATAACCAGTTATATTGGTGCTGATGCATTCACTCTTTATCTCCTTTCAAGTATCTAGTTTTAGTATTCCTTCATTAATACCTTTTTATTTTGTCATCCATGACAAATAATCGTAGTTCAAATCAATCGCAACGTGCATCCGATTTCAGTTTTTTAATTACTGTGCTCCGCAGCTGTCGCTTATTTTCCCATATATTTTTCCAGTTGTATCAAGATGTGGAGAATTCAATTATACCGAGTTCTAAATTGTTTAATTTGTTGTTCGACTTTTTTCATTTCAGTCTTGCTTTAGACAGTATTGTATTTAAGATGGTGAAAAGCTAAGCTATGCGCTGTTGATATTCCAATTTTGGCTGGCAAATCAACTCTTAGTCTTCCTCCTAATGATATCATCTAATTACTGGTCCCCTAAAAAGCTACCATGAACTCAAGCGTCATCAAACACCATCGTTAACAATGAGTCAACAGTTTTCGTATTTATATTCAAATTTCAACTCTAGGTTATTCCATTTAAAGCCGAACAGATTACCAGTTATTTTAATGTTTGGATTTAGTACCCATCAAACTTTCTTTTTCCCCATTCAACATTAAATGGTTAAAATTTGATCTTATTGCAGTGCTGTAATTGTGTTTTTCTCACTGCTAACGGGTAAGAATTTGTTACACAGAATCAGGTTTACAACTACAATGGCTAAACAGTTGTCCTGTAGTAGATACTGAGAGATTCAAATGACTAGCAACTATCTGATAACGGGTGTTAGAGTCGTAATAGTACATGGCGTTTTAACTAATCTATGTAATCTGCAGAAACACCCAGCTGTGTATCCAAGCGAAGTAGTAGGACGAAGTTACTCATCCGTCAATTTAATAACCAATGATGAGTATAAAGGAATTCTGTCCTATAGTCATACATAAGTTGTTTTTAATAACTCCATGTACTAAAATGAAATTTAGGTTACACGCATGTTTTAGATTTGAAATATGTGACAAGATGCTGATCGATTGTTGAAGTAAAACGTACATAAAAACAATAATTTACCCGTATAGGTATTTCTGTAGTTAGAAATAACTAAAATCACTTAAGCATGTAACAACCTCTGGTGGGATGGCAGAGGACACTTGCAGCTGAGTAGAATGATTTTGGTGACTTGTAAGAACCTGAATAAAACTTGTGGTTACGCTTCGAGAACTAAATTAAAAGTATTCAATAACAAATTTATTTTAAAAAGCACGAATCAAATACACTAAAAGTAGATATTTACAATAACTGCATGTACAAAAGCCATACTATCTCGTGTAATACATCGGTATTAAGGGGTGACTAATTTTTAGTGTCACAAGTCGATAATGTAATTATAAAAAAGTTTATGTACAGTGATAATTTTCGATGAACTTAGCGGAATGGTCTTGGTGGACTAGGGGGCTCCGCCTTAATAGAGACTTTGCGCGGTGGAGAAGGACTTGGATTGCGTAGGCGTCTCGGAGAGTTCCTTTGACTAGTGTCTTCCCTTTTTGTTTCTGAATGAGGTTCTCTGTTTTCCCTAAGCCTTGGCTCTCGATTCTCTCTATGTCTTGACTCTCCATTTTCTCTAGATCTTGACTCTGGATTATGACGTTTCTCCCGACCATTCCGCTTCTGAATAGCTTCAAGGCGTCGCTTCTCTGCCTCGTCTTGTTCCTGTTGAATTTTTTTCAGTTGTTTCATCACTTCTGGACCACATCCATGCTCTTTAACAAATTCCGAAACAGAGTCAGTAGGTCGTTTGTGCTCTGGCTTTTTATCCATATGTCCAACATCAAGAACTCCGTCCTTTGGTACTCGATATTTTTCGACATGGTCTACTCGGATTATACGACCTCCTAATTTTATTCCATTTAAATTATCAGTAGCTAGAACAGTACTTCTTTGATCTTCATAACACACAAATGCAAATCCCTTTGACACACCTGTTTTTTTATCCCGAACTAAATTGATATTAACAATCTCACCATACTGAGAAAAAACACAAATAACATCACCTTCAGTGAGATCGTAATGTAAACCACCCACATAGATCCAAGCCGAATCTTTGTACTGTCTATGCCAACTGCTAACTGTCCCTGTGTGACCGAGCGATAACTCCTTCTCATTCATTAAATTCTGATTTTTGGCATTCGTAATTGGATTCATTGTGGAACCGTTCTATCTAGAATAATATTGTAAAAAATAAATAGGTAGACAAAGAGAGGGTTATTTTACAATCAGTGTCAGTCATCAAAAACGTAGAACTTCGTACGTGTGTATATCAGTTCGAGTTGTCATACCATATTAGTAAAGAGATTTTATTTTCTTATTTAACACAGATATTGGTACAAAGAGGCACTAAATACATATGCGCCACACAAATCTCATTTGATATGTGTGAGGGCTGTGATACTGCCCGGGTGCCCAAACCGAAGCAAGTAATACAGAGATACAATTGTCCATTCAAATCCCGTAGTAGTAAAGGCAGTAAAATTATAAGCAATAATCGGAAAGATTAGGGTTTGAAGATGTTATTCAAGGAGTATAATCCAGTGAAATAAGTTTGGAAAGAAAATAAGGGACATGAAGAATTCAGAAGATTAGAAATTGGGAGAACACAAAGAGTGGATGCACTTGCGCCATTGCAAACGATTTTAAGCTGTCATTCAGGGTCTCTAACCATCGGTTGCTATTGTCTCGCGGATCCCAGCTAGGTAGTTTACACCTACCAACATGGCTCAGTCCACTTGTCAGTGACTTCATGCATTTGTGCCATGTTTTGGTCTGGGCGCCCCTAGCTTTCTTCCAACCTACTCCTATACCATAAAATATCGCATGTCGGTGGGTGGGCATACGTAACACGTGTCCCAGCCATCTACAATTGATTTGCCATTCTTACCTAGTACCCGTTTCCTGAAAACTGCATTACTTACTCGGTGGTCCCAGGATATACGAGCAATGTTTCGAAGACACCTATGATCAAATGCTAGTAACCTACGAATATCCTCTACTCTTACCGGCCATGTTTCACTGCCATAAAGTAGGACGGAACGAACTGTTTCACAGTAAACACGTCCTTTTGTTGATAGACGGATATCTCGCCTACGCCTACCATTCTAGTGAATTAAATAATAAAAATAGTTGCTGTCATGCCACATGTTGTGTTGGTAAGGTTGGTTTGGCAGAGATAACTAGATTTACAGTAATGTAAATTTAAAACTGACTTAGTACTGTAAATTTTGACACTGAACTTAGAATACTACACAAAGTTTGACCTTACTGTGTACCCTAAAACTAAATATGAACGGAACTAATGCAGTGATCAGATTGGAACAACTATCGCTTCCAAACAAATGCACGGACAACACATGAAGTTAGACATTCCGAAATATCTCCTTATGGATTATTCAATCTTGTGTTTATAAGTAATAGGATATATTATTCAAGTGCGAATTGATAACCTAGAACTTTTATGCTACCTGATTACCTAAACCAAAGAACATAAAAATGTTTGAACATGTGAACCAGTGGAGTCAGGTACTTTAGGAACTAAGTATTAACTTTACTTCAAGTTCTAGAAAGCTTATTTGCCCTCAAATTCTGGTCTTAGTGATACAAAGCGTGCGACAGTAACCCCGTATTTTCTGAGATTAGACATAATAAGTGCTTACCAACCAAATGCAAAACATTCACAAGTCATATGTAACTGTTTCTTTAAATTTTTCCGTTTCACTGCAGGGATTATGTTATGTTTCACAACTTCTTTACAGAATGACGTGTACTTTGAAGCTGACTACTGACAATTCTGCTTGACCGAATAAATGCAGCCCACGCAGTTTGTACGATAATAGAGATCCAGAAGCACAATAACCAAAAGAAGGCTTACCACAATGAGAAGCTGATGTCAGTCAGCTACAACGTAGGACCAGGCACATATATGCATCGTTCCAAGTTACCATACCTCATTAACACAACAAGACGGACACCGGATTCATAAAAATAGTTAATTCAGAGGTGGTAATATATAAAAGAAAGATTGCAATAAGGATATAATACAGGAAGGAAGAATTAGTTCGTAGAAAGAAAAATATGAAGTGAGTTTAATCTCATAGTTTAAGGGAAGACAAATAGTGTATACACCGACGCCATTGTGGTCGATTCTGAGCCATGTCACCAAGAGTCTCCAACCATTGGTTACGATTGTCACGCGGACTCCAAACAATTAACCTGCATCTACCAACATGGCTCAGACTGGAAGTTAGTGACTGTATGGACTGATGCCACATTTTGGTTTGGCCGCCCCTAACTTTCTTCCAACCATCTGCAGCACCGGTTAGCATTGCACGTCGTGGTAATCGGTGTATATGTTTGCAACTCTCATCCTTCGTCAGAATCTTACACACTATAAATATTTGGGACAAAAGCAGTGCCAAGAGAATTGGTTTATTCAAGGAGCACTGGTCATTCAATATAATGCACGTAAACTGAGAAAAGGACCGAAGGCTATGATTTGAAATAATTCTGGGAGCTAAAAAGCTGTAGTGAAACTATACTACAACAAGAACCGCCCCCAAATGCCCTGGTACGGCCGAGACTAGGGAGAATCCGCTCTCCCTCTCGAAATACTCTCACATGGCCACGCGTATATAGCCTCTGCCAGGGAAATCCTACTCGCTGAATTCTCGTGGCATTACTGTTGTTTACGAAATTCAGAGGACAAAAACCGAATGTCTGGCGCTTTAACCGGGTCGGCGGACATGGAGAGTCCACCTAGAGGAGTTGGAAAACCCTGATTCCAAACCAATGGTGCACATGGGCTACAGTATCCTGAAGAAACAAATGGCATATGAACCAATCGTTGGTCGCCGGCTACCATGGGACTACATCTCCTTACGATGCTCCACTGCCTTGTGGATCAGGCCTGTAGGTCGAAGGTTCTGGATGTGGCCTCCTAAGAAAACTACCTGCTTCGGTTTGGGCACCAGGGCAGTATCACAGCCCTCACACATATCAAGTAAGATCTGTGTGGCTCATATGTATTTGGTGCCTTTTTGTACCCATATCTATGTGATAAAATAAATAAATAAACAACAAAAACGCCAGGGTACTTTAAGAATGGTTACGCGTAATCAGTTAACGAATAAATCAAAATCATATGACTATGATACCAATGAAACCCAAACATAGTCTGTTAGTTTGGTTCCAGGGTCCATGACCGACTTTCCGTATCTTAATGCATTCAGATTGATACAAGGACTCATGAATTTCGCAGGAATTAGTGTTTATGTTATGAAAACTTCCTAGCAGATGTAAAAGGAAACATGGCTTTTCTATATAAATGGAGTACGATAAAGATACGAGGTATAGTATAGTAGTAAGAATCTCCGTGGCAAGACAACCAACGAATCCAAAACTGACATTTACAAAGTAACTCCCCGATCTCCCTATTGCAGACAAAGTTTGATCAGTTTTTCGAACACTATAGGAGACTCGAGGCGCAAAAATTCGGGATTTTTGCTGGTCTACAATTTTCGACAAAAGGATTCACAAACGGAGACTGGACTATCGTCGTACTGCTGCACGATTGTGAGATGTTAACGTTAGTACTGAAATGAAGCAAACTTTGGACAATCTGATACTTCCAAGTAACAGTTAATACTTGTGGTCTATTATATACACATATACGGAAGCCCGTAAAGCGAAGTTTCTATTATGTTCACAACTACTTGAACAACAGTTGAAGTGATTAGGGGAAGTTGAAAAAATCCGGAACTTATTTTGGGAAAAAGTAGACGAATCGGTGTTAGTTCTTAGAAAAAGTAGACATTTTGGGGAAGGAAAAAGTGGTAATTTCGGCACACACTAATTGCCTCACGATAGAGAAAAAAGTGCATCGCTGCCTATATTCATACGGACTTTTTCTGAGGATTTTCTTAGAATTTCGCATTTAGTTCCCCACTTTTGTTAGGACATTCAAATACAAAGTGAAAAAACACGCTGCCATACATTAATTCACAAATTACTGATACATAAACAACTGACTGACACTTGTAAATATTACCGAAAACTATTCGACAGTACCCAATCTTCCTATTTTGGGGAAGCTGCAATAGGAAACTTTGGGGTTTTTCCCCGAAGTTTGGGGGAAACCCCAAAATAGGAAGATTAGGTAAGATAAATATTAATTTAACAAGTGCAAGAATCAGGGAAATTAGACAGAAACAAGAACATTAACAGACGAAAAAGTAAGTGAAAACGGTGAGCTCATGGTTGAAAACAATTAGAAGTTTATAGTAGCTATGGGAAAATTCTGACCAACCTGATTATCGAGACCACGAATTAAAGTAACTTACTAGTTCTTTTGGCCCGCTGCGTTGATGCAAGCGTAATGTACCCTAAATAAATTATATTACTCAATATATAACAAACCTTGTCAAATGCAGTCTTTCGTATTATTTAGCACTCCATAATAAATTTTACTATCTAAGGGAACTGGTCTATAGTGAGTCAAAATGGTTAAGATGTTTGTGGACGAAATAGAAGCTTTCGCTTAACTGGCTTCCGTGTCGAGTAGCATTCGATCACCAATACCTCCAGGCAGGAATCAAGGTATGTTAACGATAGTAGGGGGAAAAGAGAAATTGGTAAATCATGGTAAGATATTATCCTTAGTTTTTAAGAATAGGTCAAGTTTCCTCTTAAAGGACTCCTGGGAAGTTGCTTGGACTAGCTCAGCCGGCAACGAATTCCATCACTTGACAACTCTTATGAAGTAGAGGTTGTGTCTACAGTCCGTTCTTCTATGTTGTGTCTCCAGTTTCCGGGCGTTACCTCTTGGTTTTGTGTTGGAGCTAAACTTAAGTAGCTTATTAAGGGGATGCCTAGAAGTGTTAAGGATACTGTAAGCCATTAGGTCACCTCTAAGACACCTATACTGTAATGGGTAAAGGTTTGGTGATTGGAGGCGCTCTTCATGAGTTTTGAATTTGAGTTCCCGAACTGATTTCGTGGCTCCCCGTTGAATACGCTCCAGAGTATCTTTATCCTTTCGGAGTGAGGGAAGAAATACTATATTCTCGTACTCTTATTAAGGACAAATAAAACTGCTGAGGATTATGTGGAAAGTTCTTCTGTCCAGCTGGCCAAAAATTTTATTAGTGTAAGGTTTTCTCGGGAGACGTTTTTGTCACAGTTAGCGTAAGACTTCAAATCGTAGGGACCAGCACTTCTTAATCTTATTCAACTTGGGATACTTTTAGAGAGAAGTTGTAATTGTAGTCTGCAACATGTCTTAGATGGACTACTTTACACTCTGAAGTGTTAAGGGTAAGTCCGTTGTCGTCTGCCCAACTTTGAAGTGGAGTCAGAGCCTCCTGAAAAGCCAGCATATCCTCTTGGTTGAGTATCTCTCTTCAGAGTTTCGCATCATCAGCAAAAATTAATAAGTCAGACAATACCTGTTGTGAAAGATAGTTCATATAAATCAAGAAAAAAAGAGGCCCTAGTACTGAACCTTGGAGGACCACACTAGAGTATTCCATGGCACGAGAGAAGGTAAAGTTAACCTTGACTTAAAGTGTCGATTTTTTAGATATGGAGGGAGTCTATCAATTAAATGTCATTTGATATCCCACTGTTTGAGCTCAGTGGTAAGACATATATGGTTGGTCCTACCAAATCTTATGGGAAGTCATGATGTCAACTTTCCCCTTGCGATCAATGATGGTTGTCCATCTGTCCACCGCGGTCAGCATGTTGATCATACAAGAGTGACATTTTCTGAAGCTGTGTTGTTGGGGTGAAAAGAAGCTTACGGATAGTAAGTAATCGTGTAGACCGTCTCATATCAGGAATTCCATAATTTTTGAGGATATTGGGAGAACTGCTGATGGTTCACTACGCCGACCTCCATTGAAAATTTGTGTGATGTGAGCCAGCTTCCAAATATTTGGTAATGTGCCTCGTCTTAACGAGTGTGAAAACATCACGCTAAGCAGTGTTGCTACGATATAAGCTGCTTCCCTCAATATAGCAGAATGAACCATATCTGGGCCAAGAGGAGTGTCTTTTCTTGGGTGCTGCAGTTTCCGGAACACCAAGTCAGCTCTCAGGTTCACTACGGAAATTTCTGTGCAGTTTCAGAAGAAGCTGTCATCAGTATAGTTGATGTGGGTCGGCTGAAATGTCCGGGAGTATTGTCCAGCCAAAAGGTTAGCGGCATCGCCGTCCTTATTGTTCGGGCCATTAGGACCGAGCATTTAGGAATCTCTAGTTTTGTCTTGACGAAGAGAGGCTGCATAACGGAACAAACTTTTTGGATCGGAGACAAATCTATCGATAAGCTTTATCTGTTACTGAAGCCTCTCTTCTCTTATGGCCTTTGTGCATATGTTCCTTATATGTTTGTATTGCCTGTGCGCACCGTTGTTATCAGTTCGTTTGTATTCTGCCCAAAAGTGCCTTTTGCGGCTTATCAAAGGAAGAGTGCGATTCTTGATTACTTCAGGTTCCTTGTAGCTTTTTTGGACCTTTTCAGGAACAGGCTACTTTGTAACACATAAGAGCGTGTGCAGTAAGAAATTCGAATGAGCATCCACATCAAGTTGAGGGTGAACATCCCAAGCCACCTGTTGTAGACAGTCCTGTAAGGCTGACATTCACCAGTTTGAAATTCGAGTGCCTGCTTTTGTTGGGATATCTTAGCTCAGTTTTGTTGAAAAAAATGAAGGCTATGACGGCGTGATCGCTTTTCCTCAGGAGAGCTAGGCTTGGGGGGTTGTCAACTAGGAATCCTTCGTTTGTGAATACCCAGTCTAAGCGCAACGGTGTCTGACTGCTTCTCCAACAGGTTACCGACCACATATTTTCAAATAATGCCAGATCATAGTTGAGGTTGAAGAACCGAGCTTCAGTTGAGTTTTCACCACAAATATATATATGTTCCGCGGAATTGACTTTAGGAAGACTGAAGTCCCCCGCAATCAGGATATGAGTAAATTCGAGACGCTTAGAGCGGGGTAATTTTTCCAGCTTAAGATTTTCGTACTCCATGTCAGCAATGGGCTTTCCGTAGATGACTCCAACTAGGCACCTCGAGGTGGTAGACAATCTTACTGAGCACCATACGGATACATTAGGATTGATAAACTCGTGTTTGTGAACTTGGTTTATCTTCATGCATGATCGTATGTATAGGGCTACTCCACCCCCAATCCTTTTTTTCTGTCGTTGTGAAACAAAGACATCACAGGTATTGCTAGGTCCTGGCCTGTAAACTGACATATCCAAGTTTCAGGTATTCCTATCAGATGAGCATTATTAGCATTAATAAGTTCACGTAGCTCATCCATTTTATTTGGTAAACTCGCGACGTTCATGTACGAGCAGTTTATGCTTACAATTTGAAACTCGTGAGCTTCTCCTTCCTGTTTGTCTATATGAGTCTTACGTGAATGTACAGGTAGCCTATCTATACAAGGTTTTCGAGTTGATAGCCCCTGTCCTTTACACGTTTTTCATATGATCAATGGAATGCGCAATTGGAATGATCAGCTTCAACTTGCTTTTTTGCTTGATCCTCGCGTCATGTGACCTATCCGGATGCATATGGATTCCAGTTGGCAACCGACGTCTGTGGGCAAGAAGTGCTTCCAGAGTTGCAGCCGCCATATAAGACGATGGGAAAGTTATCCTCATCAGCTGTAGTCTAGAATCTCCATCCTTCTTGACCAGTCTCGTCACTGGTTGAGTCAGTATGTTTTGAGCTTCAATGATTGCTTGATGAATTTCCGTTCCCTAATGTCAGGGTTTGTTTGACCAGGGTTCGTGTTTTCCGGTACACCATGCACAATGATATTTCTCCCGCGAAAAAACTCGCGAGACTCCTTTGTGATGTTCTGGATGAGATTGTGCTCAGAATGCTGTGTGTCAGGCAGTTTTCTTACATACACATCTGATTTCAGCAAGTGTCTAGCTAGTAAGATATCCTCTACGTCAGTAGCATTCTTGAGTGTTACATGAAGTAACTTCGGGTGTTTTTGATGCTTAGAGTCCTTTCTCCAAGTGAGACATGTGACCGTCAAAGACTCTGTTCTCGGAAGTCTAAGCCTCTTGTTTAGCTCTTATCACAGCATCCCGTCATTTTGTCCTGCAATCAAAGGGGAAGTTTAGGATTGTCTTTAAGGTTCATGGCTATGAGAGAATCATCATGAACCGTTATTGTTTTCCCAGGTTTTCTGGTGCGTTCAAGTTGAGCACCTTGTTTCCGATTCCTAGGCTCTGTGATGACCAGACGGACATTCTTGGGGGTAGACTGTGCGGCCAAGTCACCAGCTGATTTCCTTACAACACTTGGGATGTTCAGCTTAGACGGTGACGCCTGGTCCTTTTTAACCCTGTTTACGTGGGTCTAATCACCTACAGAGTTTATGGGAACCATCGTTGCGTTCAGGGATCTTGTGCTAGGAGGCCCAAGTTTCCTGAGGGAGTCTATAACCATCGAGGTTATGATGGTGCTGAGTTTTAGCATATCACCACTAGCACTACTGCATGCTGTCGATCTTATAAATTAGGTAGTCATATCATGACAAATCCATAATTTCAGGATTAGGTCTATTATTTCATCAGTACCAATGACAAACTAGATGATAATTCTACAAGTTCACCAGCTTTCACTGCACAAATTACAAAAGAGTCCATTGAGAGACATTGTAGTTGCTGACAATATAATCCAAAATGAATTCACGCTATTCTGCTCTCGATTCCTAAATTTCTAATCTCTACCTGGCGATCATCCAATATTTATCGGCAGGATCGATCAAGAAATAGGAAACGGAAACTTGTTGAAATACTTTTAGTCGAGAATTCTATATTGCACCGAAAATATAATGTTGGGCAAAACTAATAACAACAAAAGCAATAAAATGAAAAACCATACCCCGATGTTAACATAAAGTGTATCAGCAAAACTTATCGTCATAAACTTTGATATTAGGAGTATACATACCGCCATCAATGCTCTTAAGTCGATGACATCCCATGAATCCTTTATAAAATATCAGGACAAGACGTACAGACGCATTATCTTTAGGGACAGGTACATATCCCGAAACCTGGAAGGTAACGTATGTTCTTCCCAAACACAAATCAGGACTGGAATACGTGGTCGAAAAATACAGACCTATAAATATCACGCATAATGAAAAAAGTGACGTCAAATTAAATATCTGATTACCTACTTAGGGAAAATGTAATAGACCCGTAACAACACAGCTTCATTAAAACAATGTCCTGCAGTACATGTCTAATAGACTGCTTTAACGAGGTTACTCGCTTACGTAACCAAAAAACTAGTGTTTATACTATATTTTGATATTAAGAAAGCCTTTAATAAAGCACCTTGTAACACCCTTCAGTCAGTTGGAATTATAAACCTCCTATTGCTACGGATCAAGTCTTTTCTCACAAACAGATGCCAAATAACCAATATTAACTTTACAACATCTACACGTCTACCAATAACGTAGGTGTCTGACGCATCACAATGAAGGTAAACAGTACGAGTGGGTGAAAAAATATACAAAAATACAGAAACAACACCACTAAGTGTAAGAATTAAATGTGATATACAATGTCCCAATAAGTAACAGACTCACAGTTTATTGTTCGGTGTACCGGATCACATCGTGCTCACAACTAAAGATGCAACATGTATTCGGAGTTTGAAAACGCCTTTACACGTGTCACTTTTACAATCGAGGTATGCCAAATCATTCAAATCAGTTGTCAGAAGTGAATGTGTTCGAATATACATATGGAAAGCTATCGATGTGTTGAGAAGTGTTTGGTGTGAGCTGTGTATCAGTCACAAGGGATGCATAGCACAATGTGTTTACTTGTGATAGGGTACAGTAGCGTTATCAAGCGTCTTCAGCCAGGTGTGCCCAGTAAAACTAACGGGATTAGAATCAAATGCCGAAGACCTACAGAACCATTTATTGTGGGGATTTATTTACCGCTAGATAGTGGCTTGAAATAGCTTTTTCTGATGACCGATTGCTAAAAATGGATATGTTATGTCTGCTGACTTCAAAACATTTGCTTTCCTGAAAGAGAAGTACACTCACTCACACTATAAGATACACAAATTTACAAATAACTTCTTGAATCATTCTCACTAGTGAAGTTGAGTGAATTAATTACAAGGGAATGGACACTACTAAATTACTGGAACCGTAAAAAATTACAAGAGAAACGAAGTCGAAGAAGACAGTCTTTTTAACCATGCTCGTGCGAAAATATTTTTTTTTGGATATTGGCAGTCTGAACCGCATCTGAATTTGATAGTCAGCGTTACACTTACGTAGGTGTTCACTGTCGTATGTTTATGTTACATAACACAAGTTTCGGATTTACTCCCATTTTGCTTAAATTATAGACTTTAAAAAATGCATTCGGCTTATTATATGTTCATGGTAATTGAAACTGAGAATGAAAACTTCTAATACCTGAAAAAGTTTAATTTCCATAAAATACTAGTTATAACTTTTGGAATGTGGGAGGAAAAGAGGAGTGTAATCATTTTGCATTAATTCGTTCACGGTCCTTCCTAATTTTGCGGGACAACTGTGGGTTACACTCCGAAACATCACTTTTAAACAAGTCGTACTAATCCATGTTCACGATTAGATGTAAACGAACGGACCGAAAGTCAGCTCCGTAAGTAGTCCATTTCACAAATTCAATCTCACAGTCACGATGGAAACATCAGAATTAAAGTTTGGGGCTTGAATTTGATTTATGTTTAGGTTTTTCTTTGCCAATTGATATCGGCTCTAATTCAAATATTTCATAGTATGTATCTTGATATTAATCCATTCGTTAATTTCTACCATTCATAGTTACTCACTTTGAGACATCAGGGCGGGTCACTGCGGATTTTTTCGTTGTTATTTGTCGGAACTTAACTTTGTTCCTTCGAGAAACTTGATTGTCACTTGATCATTTTGTCAAGTGGAGTTGCAACACCTCTGTTTTAATGGATTTGTTAAAGACTAGATGTTTCTTTGCCAACTTCTACGTTCATTATGAACTCATCTATTCCCTCTTGTTTTCCCTAACAATAATAGTATTAACATATGTCTAAGAGGTATTGTGCACTCAGATAATTGAAGATATGGGTCTGTTGATGAAGAGCAGAACTAAGTATGTGCAGCCTTCCTGCATGTTTTGTGAGTATGCCAACAACTCGAGAATTTTTGACGTAACTGCTGTTTAGCCAAAACACTGGATTATTTTATGAGGCTGAAGTAATTTCCCCAACTACTCTTTAGATTTTAGATAGTTAAGACTGGTTTGAGGAATCATACTGTCGTATCATATATGACATGTTCATTATTACTACTGACTTCCATAACTATGGTCAGAGTATCTCCTAATCCGTTGTCACAAGAGTATCACATGAATTCATACCTTACTGATAACTTTCAGCATCTTTTAAAATGGTTCTGAGGTGGTAAATCTAAATTTTACCTGTTCAAAATGCAGATAATATAAAAAATTTATTTATTACACAAAGATCCAAGATATTATGTGTTATGGTTAAGATTAAATATTAAGAGTAAAAATTGGGAATAAGGTAGAATGCTTTGTAAACACGGATTGATGCTTGTGTAGATCATTCTACGACTTTAAGTATCAAAAACTTGAGTGTTACCTTTGAAATTTCTTGAGTCATTGTCACAATGTTTTATCGTTTCCATAGTTATCAATTTTAATCGTTTTAGTAGCTGTATTTTGTTAAATTTTGTTTAATTTTTAATATTTACACTCTATCGTCCCATTTTAAGTCCATTTAAATTTTATCGGGTCACTATTTCCGTAGGGTTGGGTCATATAAAAACGACATACCAGTGATTTCACTGTTCAGTGTTGTTTCATTTTGACTGACATTAATGTGCGTTAGATTGAGGTTATCAAAAAATCAACGTTACTAACCTAAACATATGTATATCGTTTTGATTGCCTTATACAAACTAATTATTTCATTACGGGCTGGTTGAAGGAAGTGTTTTACTGCTTGTGTGTCACCAGTTTTCTTATCTGAAAAGGATAAAATGGAAACAAGACCGTCGTATTATTGAATCACTCACTTATGAGTAATTTTTCGACACAGTTTCGGAAATGTCAGAACAACGAATTAAGAATCTGTAGTTTTAAAAAGTTGATTAGAGGTTAATAAATTCTTCGTAGATTTTTCACTAAGGTCTCGTCGGGCTTTCGTTCCATAAATGCCATTTGGGATAAAAAAATATTTGAAAATAGATACTAGAAGATCACTCAGGAGTGTCTTGAAACTATCGGATATAGCCTAAAATAAAAAATGTCGATGACCTCACTGTATTTTTTGTTTGCGTAATGTTTAGTCAGTTTTACAAGTGAAAATGCAATGTAAACCCTTGCAGTGCATCTAACAATTTGTCTATTGCAGTATACTAGTTTTCTGTACTGCTGTTTACTTATTGTTAGATATTCGCTGAGGTTCCATATTGAACACTTTTATCCACCGTGCTTCTCTAGCTCTCGAAGTGTCTCGAATCGAATTTTACTCTTTTAACTTGATGTCGAACCTATGTAGTTTATACAACTTATTATTATATTATTTTATTATTTTAACACATAGATATTGGTACAAAGAGGCACCAAATACATATGCGCCACACAGATCTTATTTGATATATGTGAGGGCTGTGATACTGCCCGGGTGCCCAAACCGAGGCAAGCAGTTTTCTTAGGGGGCCACATCCAGAGCCTTCGACCTACAGGGCCTGATCCACAAGGCAGTGGAGCATCGCAAGGAGATGCAATCCAATGGGAGCCGGTGACCAACGATTGGCTCATATGCCATTTGTTCCTTCAGGATACTGTAGCCCATGTGCACCATTGGTTTGAAATCAGGGTTTTCCAACTCCTCTAGGTGGACTCTCCATGCCCACCAACCCGGTTAAAGCGCCAGACATTCGGTTTTTGTCCTCTGAATTTCGTAAACAACAGTAATGCCACGAGAATTCAGCGAGTAGGATTTCCCTGGCAGAGGCTATATACGCGTGACCATGTGAGAGTATTTCGAGAGGGAGAGCGGATTCTCCCTACTCTCGGCAATTTATACAACTAATAAATTTAAATTGGTTTCTTGATTTTCTTAGTGTTCACTAAAAAATGAACAATGTTATCTTAAATGATATCACGGATTTACAAAATACTTTGGAAATACTACATAGATACTTTTCTCCTTTGTTAAATATCCCCGCTTCAGTTATAAATAATGAGGGTAGTATTATTTTTATTTGTGTTTCTATTTTTTGCACATTGACTAGGCGGTACTTTATATTAATCGATTCTAAACACCAGAATCTGCATGTTTCGTATATACCACTTTTAGTAACCCAGAAATAGTAAACGTATTATTTGTTTTCGGTTTTCAGCTTCACTATGTGCAGCCTGTTTCTGAAAAAAATTCGAAGAAATTACAGGAGTAAAGCTGGTGATTCAGACGATGAGCAAAGTCAGGAGTCTGAAAGCTTATATGATGAAGCCGTTAAAGAAATAACGTCTCAAATTAAACCTGATGTATCGTCAATCAAGAAGAACAAGAGCGTTTTAAGTTTCGAGGATGATCTTGACCCAGGTAAAGAAAACGATTTCTTGATTTTATGGTCATCATATTGTAGATGATGGTGACACATTCAAAGTTAAGAAATCTTCAATGAGTCGTAAGATTACTAAACAAACGAAAGAAAGTAAAAAGAAGAAAAACCATGGAAATGATGGCTTAAAGATAGTCGGTGACTTTCATAAGAATTTAGTTTCATATGAGGAAAGCTCTCCTGATCCCGAAGAAAATCTTGAGGTAGGATTTTGTATAAAGGCCTGGGTCAAATCCAATTAATTTATCTCAGAATTTAAGAAAAGAATTATTGAATTTAGCCGAAGATGAAACAACTTCTGAAGTAGTTCCATCTGTGAAATCCGAACCCAGCAATGTGACTTCAATGATAAAGCGTACGTCTCATGCGTTATTTAATTTCCACACAGAGGGTGTAATCCCTGATGCGGCAACAATACATTTGGCTCGTAAACAACGTGAGAAAGCTAAAAGTCTCATTGAATCATCTGATCATTCACCTACCTATTATTCATCTAGTAAAAATGATGGTAAACGTTTAGTGAGGTAAATTATTTGTGTTTTGATTACTAGAAAATTGAGAGTAATTTGTACAAACTACACGCCACAGTTTTTATTTGAAGGTTTATTTATTTATTTATTTGAACACATTAATACTGGCACAAGAGGGCGCCAGTTAAATATGCGCCACACAAACCTCATTTGATATGTATGAGGGCTGTGATACTGCCCGGGTGCCCAAACCGAGGCAAGCAGTCTTCTTAGGGGGCCACACCCGGAGCTTTCGACCTACAAGTCTGATCCACAAGGCAGTGGAGCATCGTAAGGAGATGCAGTCCCATAGTAACCGGTGACCAACGATTAGTTCATACGCCATTTGTTCCTTCAGGATACTGTAGCCCATGTGCACCATTGGTTTGGAATCAGGGTTTTCCAACTCCTCTAGGTGGACTCTCCATGTCCGCCAACCCGGTTAAAGCGCCAGACATTCGGTTTTCGTCCTCTGAATTTCGTAAACAACAGTAATGCCACGAGAAGTCAGTGAGTAGGGCTTCCCTGGCAGAGGCTATATACGCGTGGCCATGTGAGAGTATTTCGAGAGGGAGAGTGGACTCTCCCCACTCTCGGCCTTACCAGGGCATTGTAGGGCAAAAAATAAAGGTTATCATTGTCAGCTGACTATCAAAAAGGGACTTGGTCAAGGGGTTGTAAACAATTGGCTCAATAATAAAAAGTTAAATACCTAAACTACTAAGTTATATTTTATGAAATATCCCCGTTTTTAAGGAAATTCTTTTGGCTGAAAAACATTCAGACACTTTAGCAATTAAATTATTGGATAACTGAAGGGTTATCTTTTAATTCCTTTAATTATGACATCGAATGGATAGATGTGATTTTAAAAGATCTTACAAACTGTCCATATATTCTATTTGAAATTCTCGTTATTACTGGAGTTGAATAATTAAGAAATAATAATTTGTAACTTTTATTGCATGTCTTGTGTAGTCAGTTTATTTTAGTTTATCTTAAAAATATTTGTACTGTATGTATGCTCGTTTATGAACAAACCAAACATCTCTTTTACACTTGGTTTACTACAATTCATCTCATAATATCTGATTTTGGATAATATTGTGGTGTGGTTTACTTATATCCACATAAGTAGTGTATGACAGTGGTCAGGCATATAATGTATTTCGGCAGAAAATCGATAAGAAAAGAACGAAAACGGAACGCAATTAGTATGAAAATGGATGAACAATGAAATCTAAGGCAATGGACTGATATTTGTAAAGGAACAGTCAATTTTGAGGCGATGGATTGATATTTTGCAAATTAACGATTTACTATATGGATCTCAGATTTTATTGAAATGCTCTGTAATTTCGTGTCAAATGCATTCGATTGTCCTCACTGGTGTTCTGTTCACTACAATATTAGGAGGACATAATTTCTAGTTGATGATAAAATTGGTCAGTATTTCAAGTCCTTTTGTTCTTTTACAAATGTCTTTTAACTATTGGAGGATTATTTAAGAAAATAATTTCAGTCACAGTTTTATTTTTTCTCACCGCATTTATTACTTTTTTTTCGTATTTAGAGAAGATGATGACGATGATGAGTTGAATGATGATGAAGATGCCAATGATATGACAACTGTCTCATTTTCAAACTCTGCTAGTGAAATGAGACCAGTTTTTGTTGTCAGTAAAGACCGTGAAACTTGTAGTAAACGCGCAGTTATAGGTGCTCGTTTAAATCGTCGTGAAGAAGAATTGAAATGCATTCGAGAAGATTTCATGGCAGCTGAACATGGTAGTGATCGAGACAGTGATCAAGAGATTGAATGGGAAAGACAACAACTTCAAAAGGCTATTATTAATCAAGTTCGTTTCCGTCTATTTTTCATCATGGTTATTTTGCATATCTGAAACAAATAAATAAATGAAAAGCTTTCCCTTATTCCCCTTTGTTCTATCGTTGCTTTTACACAAATTTTTAACTCCCTGTCCGAAATTGTGTACTCAAAGTATCACGTTTTGTTACTTTTTTAAAACTCTTTTTTGTTACTCATGAGTAGGCAAATTTGATAGACGAAAACAAATTCTGATTGATGACTATTTATTATGAAAATAGCTGGATAAAATGAAGAACAAAACAGTAATCTTTTTACAATTTCGGAATTTCAATGTAATTCTACTGTAGATATAATGCTTTCCCACTGTACAGTCTTGGTGACAATTCAATTCAAAGTACCTGAATCAACCTGACTTGGGTTTTTGTGTTCGTGTTAATATAATTTTTGTAGACAGTTAAGTACTATTCAATATAATTTTTTTATACTAAAGAAAGTTTGCATTCCAAATACCCTGGTTATGTGAGCTTTAGATATATTTGAGTAATGGTGTATGGCGACTATGTTCCGCTATTTTCTTAGTTAGCCAGCATTTAATTTATAATGAGAGTGGCTCGGTTCTTTGATACTGCTATTGTTGGTATCATCATCTATATTCTTCTGTTCTCTCTCCTGTTAATTTCTTTTGTGTTTTCTACGCCGATAACGAGCAAGTCTTCATCATTTCAATTGTATCTTCATGTGTTCTATACTTCATAGAATTTCTTACTTGTAAACCATTAATTATCTAAAACTGCTAATGGTAATGATGGTAATCATAAGTTATTTGTGATTTCCATTCGTTCAATTCTATACATATTGTTCACCTTAAGTGTCTATGTTTGGCCAATAAACGTAATTACAAATAATCAAATTTACTCATACAATACCAAGAGTAGGGAATTAGGGTTTCGATTATGAATCAAGGTTAGGATAAAGAAAACAATGGTAGCCACGTGGATGAGTACTTAGTCAATTCTCTCATTACAAATCTCAAGAATGTTTAATTTACTTCGAAGAGGTTCATAAAGTGGGGTGTAGCCCCCTTAAGAAAAACGCCTGCTTCGTTCTGGGCACCCGGGCAGTATCACAGCCCAAATACAAATCAAGTGACTTGTGTGGCGCATATGTATTAGGTGCCCCTTTGTACCAATATTTATATGTTCAAATAAATAAATATATGTATATTAGTTGTTTGAATCTTCCCATTGATGTTTCGGACTGTTCAATCTCCTTTAGCATATGTGCATCCCATGTGAATCCAGGTACACTCAGCTGATTTGTCCAAAACAAGAGGCAACGTATCTCCTACTATTACTCACCATCCATCCCGTGCATTCTACTATTGTTTTATGAAAAGATAATCACTTTTTTATGGTCATTTTTCTGATCGTTCAAGTTTGTTCTTATTGATTAGCCTCACTACATATACCAATTTAAAACGTTTTCGTAACTAACTATTATCATGTTTTATTTCACTCTTAACTATGTACAAATTATCTCTGACCGCTTAGTAAATAGACACTATCTTAAATATTATTGATTCTTTAGTATAATATGTCTCTGCCTATTACTTCTTGATAAAATTAATAAGATGAGTTCTTGGTTGTGTCATTCTCTTTTCTCTTTTTCTTCTTTAGAATCCTGCTGTTTTAGAAGCTATTCAACCAATTCTTGGTACTGAAGATTCTAATAATACTACAACATCTGCAGATAGTACTATACTTGATGGATTAAATGTTACAGATATAACATTGCCAAAATTAAAAGATAATTTACAAGAGAAGTAAGCTTAATAAATGACAATAAACAGTATGATGATGTAGTTCTTTCAATGGAAATTCCTACAAAATTCTGTCTTAGATCAAAGATATATATATGTTTTAAAGTAACCACTTTTCTTTCAAGTTGGTTTATCATTGAAAGAAAGTATTAACATCTCCAATGTTCTTTCTTTCCACCAACTAATTCTTTCTTCTTGTACTATATCCTTATATGCAAACTTTCTTTTATATATTACCACTATTGAATTAAATACTTCTATGAATTCGATGTTCATCTTGTTGTGGTAATGAAGTATGGCAACTTGGATCGATGCATATATGTGGTTGGTTCTACATTGTAGCTGACTGACTGACTTTTATAGGGTCAATGGTAGAAAATATATAAATACAGGCGAATCACATCATAATTTTGCCTTTCATTGGTATAGTTAAGACAAAAGTTCACTTTACGTTTTCTTAAACACCTCACTCAGTTAGTCAGCTACAATGTAGGACAAGGCAAATATGTACATCGGTCCAAATTACCATACCTCATTAGCACAACAATATGAACTACGGATTCAAAGAAGTAGTTAATTCAATGGTGGTAATATATAAAAGAAAGGTTCCATATAAGGATATAGTACAGGAAGAAAGAATTAGTTCGTAGAAAGAAATATATGAAGCGATTTTAATCTCTTGGTTTAAGGGAAGACAAGGAGTGTATACACCTACACCATTGTATTAGATTCTGAGCCATATCACCAAGAGTCTCCAACCATTGGTTACGATAGTCATGTGGACCCTTACCACGTAGTCTGCATCTACCAACATGGTTCAGACCAGAAGTTAGTGACTTCAAGGACTGATGCCACATTTTGGTTTGGCCACCCCTAACTTTCTTCCAACCATTTCCAACACCGGTTAGCACTGCGCGTCATCGTAATCGGTGTTCATGTACACGCAACACGTGGCCCAACCATCTCAGTCGATGAAGATTCACAACCTTATCAACTGATTTACCATCATTCCCCAATACCCTGTGTCTATCCTCACTATTACTTATCCGGTGATCCCAGCAGATACCAGCGATATTTCTAAGGCATCTGTGATCCAATACTAGTAGCTTACGAATATCTTCAACTCTTAAAGACCACGTTTTGCTGCCGTAAAGTAAAACAGAACGGACTGCCGTGCAGTATTCTTTTCCTTTTATTGGTAAACGGACATCTCACCTTCGCCATAGAAAACTTTAATATTTAGGATTTTTATATCTATATTTCCTTTCAAATTCTTCAGTTCAGGAAGTTAAGTAGTTTTACAATCCTTTAAAACATAACATCAGTAATGACCTGTAGTTGGATAAATAAACTTGTTCTTGGTAAATAAATTACTGAAATCCCATGAAATGATAGCATAGGGATTAACTCATACAACTGTTAATCATCGAACTACACATTAAAATCTTCTTAAATCTGCCTTCATTTTAATCATCTCTCAGCCTGATTTTCTCTAGTCTGTTCTTCACAAGCCTTGGTAAGGCGTTAAAGTATTATTGAAGCTAATATTTTAGACACTATATTAGTCAAACTGATTCCTCTGTGATTTTCACAAGAGGACTTTTGTCCTTTCTTATAGACTGGCACAATCAGTGATTGAGACCAGTAAGATGGGATTACGTCCAGTTCCCAAATTCTACCTAAGACCTCAGTTAATCTCATTGCTAATACTGGACCACCATCCTTAAAAATCTCAGGAGTAAACCTGTCAGAGCCTGCTGCTCTCCCTCGCTTCAGATTTCCTATGGCTTTTTCAACTTCGTAAGGAGTCGGAGGACGTACATTAACTTGCTATTCAGGTTGACTGGGGATCGTGGGAAACCGTAGTGTGGCTGAAGGCCAGTTGAACTGATCCCTAAAGTGTTCTACCCATCGATTCAATCTCCTGGATTGAGAATGAATAATATGTCCATCTTTCTCTGAGATTGTTTCGCTGACAGAGACCCTGAATGACGTGGCTCAAAATCTTTTGCAATGGCGCAGATGCATCCACTCTTTGTGTTCTCCCAAATTCTAATCTCCTGAATCCTCCTTGTCCCTTTTTTTTCTCTTTCAAAATTTATTTCACTGGATTATACTCTTTAAATAACATCTTCAAACCCTAATCTTTCCGATTACTGCTTATACTCTTACCACCTCTACCACTATGGGATTTGAATCGACAACTGTATCTCTGTGCTAATATGGTATGGCAACTCGAACTGTTGTACGTACGTACGAAGTCCTACGTTGTTACTGACTGACTGACTGAATCATCTCTCATACAAAGTGGATTGCTCAAGGTCAAGTTCATAAAACTTTACCTAATGATAAATAAGTTACATTAATTTATATTTCCATTGATTAGGTGTACAGTTATATTGAAAGTCCTTAATACCGAAGTAAACATTCTTGTTTTAAAAAATTGTGTTAATACATTTTAATAAAATCATTTATTTGTTGTAAATCGTGTAAATTAAACATTATTTATTAATTTGTACACGTAAACATTAGTATATATTAGTACCAAATACATATAGGCCACAGAACAACAATGAGGCCAGTAGCTGTTATGATCGATTTGTGTAAGGGCTGCGATACTGCCTCAGTGTTCAAACCGAAGCAGGTGGTTTCCCTAAAGAGCCACTCCCCGAGCCTTTGACCTAAAGGTCTGGTCCATAAGGCAGTGGAGCAACGTTAGTAAATACAGTCCCATGGTAGGTGGTGACTAATAGTAGGTTCATACGTCTTTTGTTTCCTTAAGATCCTGGAGCTCATGTGCACCATTGGTTTGGAATCAGGGTTTTCTAATTCTCCTAGGTGGATCATTCATATCCACCAACCCGGTGAAAGCACCGGACATTCGCTTTCCTACCTCTCGATTTCGTAAACAACAGTAATACCACGAGAAGTCAGTGAGTAGGACTTCCCTGTCAGAGGCTGTATACGCGTGGTCGTGTGATAGCATTTCGAGAGGGAGGGCGTGCCCACCCCACCCTCGGCCATACCAGGGCATTTGGGGGCCTAGAAAAATTAATACGAATTGATTAACTAAGGAAGTTTATTGTCATTCATCGTCTTATTTAATTACTTATTGTTATCATAGGATCATTAAAGAGGTTGGTATTTTTTAGTAATAATGTATCCTACTATTTAATTGTTTATTATTATTATTATTAGATACAATAAGTTGAATGAATCACTAACGAAGCATAAAACATCATTAGAAGAGGCGAAACGTGATTTAGAACGTGGCAAGATAATAATTGCAGATGCTCGTGAAAAACTTCCTAACTTAGCAAAACAATTTATGTTCTATCAAGAAATGAAAGATTATATTGATGATTTAATATCTTGTTTTAATGAAAAGGTAGGTTAGTATTGTTATTTTCTCATCCATACTGAATTATGTCAAATAGTATTGGAATGATGTATAGATCAAGTTTTTTTTTGTATTGTAAAGCATTATTAATGTTTATTAGCGATAGTGATTAGGTGTTGAGTTTGAGTGTACATGTCTCTTTCCTTTCAAATATTGGCGTTCCATTTGATGACAACCCTCAGAATTATATGATATACTTACTGTCTATTTTCTAATCCAGTTGGAAATGAATTGGATTATCCCGTTGTTTATATTTTGATTGAAATTTGACCAATCTTCTTTGGCATCCGAACTCAGTAGCTAAGTGGATAACTCTGGTTTTTGCATTGAACGGTACTGGGTTCGAGTCCCGGAGTAAGCATCAACTGCGTAATCCAGGTGCATCCAAATGAACATCTTAGTATTCAGTTATTAAATACGCTTTCTGAAATGCAGATTAAAATCTTACTGAAGCAAATAAGCTGACTACTTCAATTGAATAACGTTTTTTAAAAACTATATTACAGTCATGTAAAATCTGAACGTTATCAGATCTTTACATTGATCCATTTAATTAAGCTAACTTGTACAATCAAACAATCGAGTAGGTAGTTCTGAGTTTTTAAACTTGGAACATTTTAGCAATCCTAAATCACTTGATAAGAGTATGAACCTTCATCTAATGTGAGCTAATCATTTTATGTTTCATGCTCATCCTGACTAGCTAAACGTTAGGTTGGAAAAAATTAAGGGCGTTTAAATTATAGCATTAAATTTACCATTCCATAAAGGCATTAACTATTGAACTGAACTTTGCACCTTTCTGGTTTGTTGCGTATGATAACTGGTATGTAGTTGGTTGACGTAGTCTGGAATTGTTTGAAGTGACTCAGTTATATTCATTCTTAATCTTTCATACTCTCCACTTCTGACTTTTATTCTCACATGTTAAGATTTCCAGTTCAATGGATTTTCGTTTCTTCATGTTTTTCATTATGCGAATGTATAGTGTAAAAAAATTCACTCGTCTTACGTTTGTATCAAGTTCTATGTTGTTTTAAACTCACGAGACTATCACAGTATAATCATTTAGTTAGCAGTTGTACGTCAAAAAGCTTATTTATAACGATTCTGTAGAATATTTTTTTATAATTTGCATCATGAATTGACCTTATTTAGAGAACCGTTGAATATCGGGAAGCATTGAACAATTTTTTTCGTCGTAGCGTGGTAGTAGTAGTAGTAGTGTAACGGAGAGAGAACGATGAAAATCCCTCCGCAGCTTTTTCAAATCTCTAATCCCTTAAAAGACAGGCAGAGGAAGCAGCTGTTGTGCCTTCAGAGAGGGAGAGGGTTAGGGTCGTTAAAGCTAAAAGAGGACATGTGTAGTAAAGTATCTTCTGCCTCCAAGTGTGATGACAGAGGACAACATTATGTCCGTAGTTTCGTAAGCCGTTCCCATGACCTTAGAATCAAGTCCCCAGAAAAGCCAAATCTGTCAGACTATCCACAAACGAAGAAGAGGGCAGTGACCTTGACATCTCTAAGTGTGGGTCTTGGGCTCCCAAAAGTAAAACTGAGTTATATGTGGTATCCAAGGTCGAAGATGATGGTCAACGGCTCTTGTTCTTGCTACATTATTGTAAAGGAAAGGCTTGAGAGGCCATAGAAAAATGCATAATGCTCCTACCATCATCGAGTTATCGTAGAGCATGCGATATACTGAAACGGTTGTTTGGTAGAACACACGAAGTCGGGCTTTGCTGAAAGATTTGACTGAAGGTCCCGATATTGTGCAGAATGATGGAGAAAGTCTGTCTACGTTAGCAATAAAAATGGAAAACTGTTCTATAGCTTTAGAGCAAATGGATTACTCATCGGATCTCACTTCCCTAGGAACTATGGAAAGCATAGTAAGAAAGTTGCCCACGGCATTGCAGATGAAATGGGCTGAAACAGACGGAAAGGTAACAGCAAATGGGAGAGAGCCTATATTTGCCGAGTTAACTGGATTTGTATCATCTAGAGCAGAACTATTACTCAGTAGGTTTGGGCAGATCGCAACAACTAGTAAACGAGTTGTAAGCAGGGTAGCCTGTCCCATACAAGGGTTGTCGTCCGGTAAAATTGTTAGCAGGTCACTTTGTGTTATATGCGGAGAAAATCACATGATTGATAAACGTTCCCAATTCTCCACATTATCAGTCAATGATAGGTGGATGAAAGCTAGAGAAAAGGGCCTGTGTTTTTGCTGTCTTAGAAGGGGTCACAGATCAGTGGATTGTAAAGATCGTGTTGTGTGTACTATCGAAGGTTACCGGGATCGGCATCACCCGTTGTTGCATAAACCCATTAAAGTTCAGAACACTTCGAGTGAGCATTTAGAAGAAAGTCATTGTGGATATACAGAGTCACTAATGGAGGATGTATTTTTTGGTCTAATACCTGTACGCTTCGTACGCTATACAGAAGAACGTAATCTGGCCTATTCGAATAAATTTTGGTTCGTCAGTTCTGCGTTCAAACTGAATACTGGCAGTTTGGTCGTTACACGTAGTTACGCATCCACTACTTTATCGAGGCTTCAGTCCAAGTTCAGATCTGTAGAGTAGCGCCTAGTCTTTAGACCAGTGAGTTGGGAAATCAATTCGCGATATTGCACAACTATCTTCCAATGGTATTTGTGAGTAACTACTTCTTATGATTTGGTTGAACCTCACAGGTCATAGCTTCTTATTAGAACTACGAGAGCTACCATTCCAAGTGATTCATTAATGTGTATATATTTACACTTAAAAATATCCTCATCTATATAAATTTTTTTGTAAACATCTTATAACATTATTTCAACAGATGTCAAAAATAGAATATCTAGAGAAACGTTCTATTATAATATTTCGTGAACGTTATGACAAATTAGTTGAACGTCGACGTATGGATATGAAAGATATGGCGGATACAGTATCTCAGCGTAAGTTACATTGACCTTTGTAATATGACTACATTATTGCATAATTATGTACCTTATAATCTATATATCTTACTTGAAAATTTAAAGATAACTATATAGTTTATTATCAGAAACGGTTTGTGGAGATTTTAGAAATTTCACTGATTGAAATCATGAGTCAATTGAATCTAGACCATTATAGAAAACTTGGAAGCACTGAAAGGTCGTTCCACCCTGGTATGGGACTCCTCAGCAGTGCGCATCCACGATCCTGCACCCCGTAAGATTCGGACCCAGGACCTACCAGTCTCGCACCAGGCGCTTAACCAACTAGACCACTGAGCCTGCCGGCATCCAACAGTGTTAATGTCTAACTTCAACCAATCCACGAAGTTGCGCCACCATACACCATTGTCTTCAGTGAGTTGATATCTCACAACACACCTGGTTGAACTCCACTGGTAACGGCTTCTCACTAGAACTCCAGGAGTATCTCTTGAAGTCAGTTACTAGTGAGCAGATGATTATTATCAGAAGGGGTTTGTGGAGATTTTAGAAATTTCACAGATTGAAATCATGAGTCCCATACTAGGACGAAACGGCCGTCCAGTGCTTCCAGGTTTTCCATGGTGGTCTAGATTCAATTGACTCATGATTTCAATCTATATAGTTTATTGTTTATTTTCTTGACTTATTCACTGATGACACATAAATCTTAGCGCAATAAAACATTGAAAATTATGTCACACTAACAGAGTTATTATATTGTGAACAAATGCAATCGAAAAAGACCATACAATGAATAAATAAGCAAACATGAATGATATTTAAAATGAGTTATAGTTCAGTTGAAAGTACAGTTGGAAAAGATTAAGCAAGTTCATTTCAATTTATAAAGAGTGTGACAGAAAATTATGGCAGGATCGCCACTGGCTTCTCTGAACTAGTCCTAAACAAGTATTTTTCATACTAAGGTGCCATGTCATACCCGACCGTTGTTGCTATCTTGACGTGGTGGTCGGGCTTGCCTATCGTAATGAAGCAACTGAGCTATACTGACTGGAACAACCGTTCCTCAAGGTCCTACTATGTCAGACAGGTCGGTTGAAGAGCGGTAAGACAAAGCAACAAATCTAAGTTCCGAAGGTGAAGTCGTACTGCTGACTGTATAGAGGTGTGACATCATTAAAGTGTTTCCTTCAGACAACCATCATGACAGCGATGCTGCCTTCCCACAAGGAGGGGTGGGGTTAGAAAAGGTCGACTCTAAAAATACACACCTCGCCTTATCCCATGTCATAAACCGACCGCTTCTCTGCTTTTTTCAACCAGTCTCAACACTAGCTAATAATGTGTGATTTGAAAGCCCCCAAGATTACATTCGTAATAATATAAACAAGCCATCCAAGTCAGTGTTTCGATACGTTTTCATTAGTATCAATTAACTGGTTGGATTTCCAAGACTTGCTTTCACAACTTAGATTAAACTGTTAGCCTGTCAATATAAGTAACTCATCTTTTTCTGGTCTATATCAAAGAGAAAATTAATTTAAAGAGTTCATTAAAAACAGGAGCATTGTGTAGCTAATCTTTACAACCTTTTTGGATTCTTTAAAGACGTCTGTTAATCAGAATATATCTTTATTAATCTAAACTATTATAACAAGTTATTCTGTGAATCCATGATCGGATTGAAATCATAGATACAACATTATTTAAAATGAGAAGCTTACTGAATATTAATTATATCATTTAGTTTATAGGAAACAACTTGAAGGTATCTTAAATCATGAATTTTAATCGAGGGTACCGTTATGAATAACTGTTTTGTCCTGGTTTATGATTTCTCATCAATGTGCGCAACTACGATCCCAATGGAGATCAAACCTATGGTTGTCAGGTCTCGTGACGTATGTATCTCGTAGTTCACTTTTCTAAATCCATTCAATCTCCAACATTCCACAATTATCATTATTCAATATCTTTCATAATGCCTATGTTACTTCCGATATAGTTGATCTCCATTTTCACAATAACTTTGCGGAATATAATTATGTTCCCAATAGTAGTAACTAACTTCGGCAAAAAATTGTTCGTGTCAATGAGAAGCTATCACTTGTGGATTCAATCCACCCAGATGACGACTGAAAATCAAATAGTCAATAGTACATTTATATGTGCAACACTAAAAATAGATTATTAGAATAACAATTATTATACTTAAATACATTTACATGACCCATAAATCGACTAAGTAAAATATCTTTAGTGTCTGTAAAAATGCAAGTCATCTTTGTATGTGGGATTTTGGCGCGTAGAATCGTAAGTTTAAAGTTGTCAAAAAATTTGTTAACAATGAATAATAGTTTAAATGATTTAATCAATCCTAACAAACCAGCATATCAAATGTATTCGTTTCTGATTGAGATCATGAACCGATTGATGTTAGACCAATTTTGGAAACCTGGAAGCACTGGACGGCCGTTTCGTCCTATTGTGGAACTCCTCAGCATCCCACGAGCAGGATATGCTCCACAACCCCTATACATGTAATCGTTTCGTCTAATTCATTTCTACATTTTTTTATAGATTTTCTAAATCAATGAAATATTTCTATCTTAAATCATCTTCAACTCATAAATACTTGTCTTTATTTCTTAAATATTTGTTTTCCTGTTCAATGAATTCAAGAATAAATAATTATCTTTTATTCTATTCTTAATATGTGCTTCGTGTCATTTCTCATTTAGCAACTATATCATCTACATGTACATCTAGAACACCTGAAGAAGTAAAAATTATTGAAGCCAGACGTAAAAGATGTGCTGAACGAGAATCCCGACGGTAAGAATATTTAATAAGCGTTAAAAGTATGCGTGTTAAGTTGTATTTTTTTAAATCCAGTATTTTATCCCTATTATAAATAAATATTATGTCATCTATGGTTATTAGAGTAGAGTTGTTCGTTTTATAGTTACATAAATGATGTGAACCCATTGTAATCCAAATGCCTTGATACGGCCACATGTATATAGCAACTGCCAGGGAAGTTCTACTCACTGCCTTCTCGTGGCGGATTTGCTGTTTGCAAAATCGAAAGGACAATAATAGATTATTTGATGCTTAAAGCTGGTTGGTACGTACGTCAAATCCACCTAGAGGAGTTAGGAAACCCTGACTCAAAATCAGTGGTGTACATGGGTTCCAGGGTCATAAGGGAACAAATGGGATGTGAACCTATTGTTGGTCAGCGGCTGTCATAAGACCTCGTCTCCTGACATTGCTCCGCTGCCTTGTGGATTAGACCTTTAAATCAAAGGCTCGAGGACTGGCTTCCTGAGTATACCACCTGTTTCGGTCTGAGCACTCAGGGAATGTCCCTTCTCGCATACAGTTTGAATGATAACTACTTTGTGTGTCGCATATATATTTTGGTGCCCCTGTAAACCAACGTTAAACAATAATAATGACAATGTATGACAACATTTTCACCATTCTTCATGCACTAATATAGTCAACACCAGAAAAATCTTTCCCTTTATCAAAGATTTTATTTTAGGGACAAAAGGTAATGATATTGTATAGCTGATCTGTAAATGTAACTGGTAATTAATTTGGAGAAATAGAAGAACAGTTAAAGTAACCAATAGGGGAGAGAGAAGATTGGGAAGTAAGAATTGAACTTAAATAATTATTCTTTATGTTTGCATTCAATTTACATTTACGTACATTTTTTCTATCTATTCAAATAGAATACGGCGTCAACGTGCTAGAGAATTACAAAATCCTAATGTCATACAAGTTCACATTGATGGAACTAGTACGGATGATGAAGAACCACAGGCTACAATTGTTAAACGTTCAGCTGATATAGGTTTGTATTTTATTTGATGTGCTTTTTTTTCTGTTTGTTAAACATTATTATTTACAATCAGATAAATGGTTTGAATTCAATCCTTCGGTCAAAAGTTTCAAAGATTTAAATCTACTCTTCTTAATAGCTTACATCATTATATGAACACAAAATGCTTCCAGGTTTTCCATGGTGGTCTAGCTTCAATTGACTCATGATTTCAATCTGTGAAATTTCTAAAATCTCCACAAACCCCTTCTGATAATAATCATCTGCTCACTAGTAACTGACTTCAAGAGATACTCCTGGAGTTCTAGTGAGAAGCCGTTACCAGTGGAGTTCAACCAGGTGTGTTGTGAGATATCAGCTCACTGAAGACAATGGTGTATGGTGGTGCAACTTTGTGGATTGGTTGAAGTTAGACATTAACACTGTTGGATGCCGGCCGGCTCAGTGGTCTAGTTGGTTAAGCGCCTGGTGCGAGACTGATAGGTCCTGGGTCCGAATCTTACGGGGTGCGGGATCGTGGATGCGCACTGCTGAGGAGTCCCATACTAGTACGGAACGGTCATCCAGTGCTTGCAAGTTTTCCATGGTGGTCTAGCTTCAAATGGCTCATGATTTCAATCAGTGAAATTTCTAAAATCTCCACAAACCCCTTCTGACAAAATGAATAGCTAAAAATCTTTTAATAAATTATAGAATACAGCTGAAACTACTGAAGAGCAGCTGCGTCTTACTAATAACACCCCGTGACTAAGATGTAGAAGTAGTTGTGATGGACCAGAAAATCTACATTGACAAAATAACAATCCTACTGTCAGATAATAATATGTTCTATAAATATATCGATGAAAAAAACACAGAACGATCCTGGATTCGAATCTTGCGAGGCAGTATCGTGGGTACACACTATTGAGGAATCACACAATAGGACGAAACGTCCGTCCAGTGCTTCCAAGTTTTCCATGGTGGTCTAATTTCAATTGACTCATGATCTCAATTTTTAACAGAACTGAAATAATCAAAAAGCAACAAATCTCAGTACATAAGAAAATAAAAATAAGCGTCCTCTAAGTCACAAAGATCTTTACAAGTGTATTGAACTACCAAGATCAATTGTAGAGTTTTGAAAATGATTTCTCCGTAAATAGAATTCATCATTGAACCTATAAATAAATAAAATTCACTTGGTATTGCTTTACTTGTATCTTCCCATTGTTATTTAGGACTGCAATTGGTCATTCTGTTGTTGGCTTATGTGCATCCTGTGCGAATTGCTTCGATATAGCCTTAAGTCCCAAGCATTATAAAGCAAAGATGGTCAGTGACTAGTAGTGGAATCCAGTTTGATACGCGTTTCGTCCTATAGGACGAAAGCGAACGGCACTGGGTTGGAGTCCCAGAGTAAACATCAACTGTGAGATGCAGATATATCCAGCTGACGAGTCCCAAATAGGACGATACGCGCGTCAAACTGGATTCCACTGCTAACCACTATATCCATCTTTGCTATAAATAAATTGTTTAAAACATTTTCCCATTCTTTCATGTGTATGGTACTTCATCATTCTACATTGACATATCAAACGTAATTTTGATCAAAATATTTCTAATATAAAGTATGTAGCGCAACTTTGTTCCTTCTCAATAATTCATACTAATGCATAATCGAATTTGGCTTTTTGAACTCAGTAGTTTGTTAGATGAAACACTTGTCATGGATTCCAGTACTAGTTACTATTCAACTCTATTTATAAAAGGTTGTGTACTGTCCGTTGAAAATTAATTGAAAGTACTTCACTATATCTATATATTGTACTTGTTAATTATCCTAACAAGATTATTATTTAAATAATCCTAATCTTTTTTTTTTGTGTGTGTTCAAAATAATTCCACCCTGTCATTGTCAGACGCTTTACTAGTAGATGCAAATGCTTTATTCGAAGATGTTGTTGAAGAATTTTGTGAATTACCATTAATCCTTGAAAGATTTATAGAATGGCGTAATAAATATCCTGAATCATATCAACAAGCTTATGTATCATTGTGTTTACCACAATTATTTAGTCCTATAATACGAATTCAATTAATCGGTTGGAATCCTTTAAGTGTAAGTTACTTTTCTTTCTTTTATTTGTCTTTTATCCCTAAAAATGTTTTGAGTGTTTAAACCTCTTCCCAAATCACTTACATATATAAGTTATTTGTTGGAGGCCGTTTAGAGTTACTGGGGGTGGGAGCCTTTAAAAACGGGAAGAAGATCTAAAATGCTTTATTGGATTGGCGTTCAATAGAAACATTTCATAAATTTTTAGAACATTTATAGCTCAGTAAGCAAAGATGGATAGTGGCTAGTAGTGGAATCCAGGACGCGCGTTTCGTCCTGTTTGGGACTCGTCAGCCGGATGTACCTGCAGCTGAGTTGATATTCACTCTGGGACTCGAACTCAGTACCATTCACTTCAAACGCTATCGCGTTATCCACTCAGCTACTGAGTCCTGATAGCAACCTGCTTGTGCAATGGGGTGAATTTAAATTCACTTGATATCGTTTGGTTTGTATCTTCCCATTGAGGTTTAAGACTGCAATTTATAGCTCAGGTAGATGATTTTGATGGAGTTTTGTTCTTCAGGTAGAAGTTTGTGCTGATAATGTCGTTCGGAATAATGATGAAATCTCCACGACCAAACCATCCAGCTCAATGTACAAAACTCCATCAGAATCCTAGAAGAACCACGGATTTTGTGTTCTACCCTGATTTGATATTTATCAATTTCGTTACTAATTTTAGAGTGCTTCCAAATGATTATGTAAATATCTATTGTCTTAAAATAGATTCTATCTTATATGTGTAAATGAAGTTCAGCGTATATCAGTTTCTCTTTTGAAGCTAATAATAAATATATGTAGTGTGATTTGAACAATTCCCTGATCGTACATTGCATTAATAATATGCCTAATAGCTGAGTAAAATCATACACTTACTGTTGTTCTGTATCGTTCATAATGTAAGTCGTCACTTACAATATTTTTATAAAAGTGAATGATACTTCTATTATGATGTATGCTAATTATACTGACAGATATAAGTATTACGTAGCAGTACTCAGAAATGAAATGTCTACTAGCAGAAAATTGAAATGAAGAGAACAGGAAGGAAATTGGGGAGCAATAAAAATAACAACAGAATTGGATGAATAATGGAGCATGTAAAAGACAACACAAAGCTGTGCAAATGATGTATTTAATGTATGATTTTCATATTTTACTAAGCCACTGTGTAATTTTGCATTAAACAATAAATTGGTTTTCCTTACTTGAGTTTTCGTTCAATACACTACTACTTTGTTGCTCCACATTAAAGTAAACAACTCCAATTTTAAACATACTATCTATTGGCCAAAGGTAATTGGCTTACATCATTAATATAAGCCTAATAGTGTTACATCAAAAAGTACAAGCATTTGTAAACAATTGTCTACTCAAGATACTCAATATCCGTTGGCCGGATAACATCAACAACGGCCTATTGAAGGAGAGAACAAACAAGCTTCCAACTGAAGAAGAAATTAGGAAAAGACGTTGGAAGTGGATAGGATATATATTACGGAATTCATCAAACTGCATCACGATGCAAGCTCTGACTTGGAATCCTGAAGAGGAACGAAAAAGAGGAAGGCCAAAAAAACACAATACGTCAGGAATTGGAAGCAGACATGTAAAGGATAAATAGCAACTGAAAACAACTCAAAAGGATTGCTCAGGACAGGGTTGGATGGAAAACGCTGGTAGGTGGCCTATGAGCATAGGCCTTCACGAGGGGCAACAGGCGTAAGTAAGTAAGAAGAGTTTTAATTATCCCATTGATAATATTCTTGAATAATATATACATCTTACCAGTTGAACAAGTTAGTAGTTACTGGGACTTAGCATTTTGGCGTAATAACTCATTGGGTATTCTGAACAAAAAGTACACTAAATCCGAGTCCCAGTGTTTACATCAACACTGAGATGTAGGTATATCCAGCTGACAAGTCTCATATAGGACGAAACACGCCTCTTGAATTCCAATGCTAGCTACAATCCATCTATTTGTTGAAATTTTCAAAGTCATTATTGCCTTAATGCATGTAAACTGTTCTTTTTCTTTCTTCATAATCTCAGAATCATGCTGATCCGATTGAAGAAATGAAATGGTTTCAAGATTTGTTAGACTTTTGTAACCTTCCATCAGTTGACAATAATAAAAATACAAAGTCAACTATTTCAAATAGTAATAAAACCGATAAAAGCAATAATAATAATGAAAATAAAAATCCCAGCAATAATAATAACTTGGATAAAACTGCTGGTAATCTTGATGATGATCTTCGTATAATACCAAAGTCAATTGAAAAGATTGTTTTACAACGAATAAATGGTAAATTGTTATTTTACTTATTATATGTTTTTTTATAATTCTAATTGAATGTAAAGCAACGGGCTGAGTGGCTAAAGCGTTCGGATTACCAGCCAATTCGATTACAGATCCGAATACTGTTTCATTTCGGTTTAATCAAATGTAGACAGTTATAGACAGTTCATCATTTGTGTATGGGCTGTGATACTGCCCGGGTGTCCAGACCGACGCAGGTGGTTATCTTAGGGGGCCACTCCCCGAGCCTTTGACCTGAAGGTCTAACCCACAAGGCAGTGGAGCATCGTAAGGAGATGCAGTCCCATGGTAGCCGATGACCAACGACTGGTTCATATGTCATTTGTTCCCGCATTTCATGTAGATTTTGTTGTCTTTTTACACAGCATTATCAATACTAGCTTAGGAAATGGCAAGCTACTAATGCCTTTCGAGAAATGACTAACGGTTACTTCCGTCGATTTCAAATATGACTAATTGATTATTGGCGTTTACCTGTCGTTATTGTTTACGCATTTATTTTGGTTTACTTCGTCTCTGATCGGATTCTTGATCTTATGATGGTTTTTCATTTTCTTCATTTACTGAACAATTGAATCTATTTGTCAAGATCTTTATCGCTTGCTAAGTACCCTGATTGTTAAATTTTTATGATCTTTCTAGTCTTCATATTGCTTGTTTTGAACACCCTTCAAAGTTACAAGTTTCCTCTTCTTGAATTTTTGCTCATCAGTTATCACCAATCTAGAATCCTGTACAGATATACATCGATCCAAGTTCCCATACCTATCACATTAGCATAACGTGAAAGGAGACTGGTAAGATGCATAGCAGATTTTTATCACTGATAGTAAACAAATGACTAGACATTAATAATATGCTTCGAAAAGAAGAAATTAATTAGAGAGGTAAAAACTATAGAGTTATATTAGATCTAGGAGATTTTGCTGAAGAATGAATCTACGTCACTACTATATATTCTGGATCATGTCAACTAAAGTCTCCAAGTATTGATCACGATTATGATGTAATAGTCAGTGAGTAATCGATTCAAATCATTTTGATCCACACAAAACTGTGTGATCAAGCTTATTTTTTTCAAAATTTTATTCCACATGATGGTTTGATTAAAAGCTTCGCCTACATGTTATCCATATGAGTAATTAACAAGTGTTCACAACGATCCATAATATACTGTCTTAGAAATTTTTACTGCTACTTCAGTCATTCGATAGTGTGTATTACAGCCATCAAATTATATTTAGCCTATCAAAACAGCTTTACCCAATAATAATACTACAATGTTGTTGAAGACAATTAGTTGCTTTCGTTAGCATTAAAATTCAGTGCTAATTTCTAGATCTAAGAATATTTCCACTGCCTATTAGTTTCACTGGAATAACTCCTCCAAAGTCAAACTATCTTTGCTTGGGAATATATATATATATCTCGAGCATTAACAATGCATAATTAAATGTATTGATTCTGGTACAGCGCTTTTTGTCAATCGTTTTTCTTTCCATAGAACTAGTCTGCGCTTCATGGGATCCTTTATCAGAGAAACAATCTTTACAACTTGTCAATTTAATGCATAATTTATGTTCAACTTATCCAACGATTTGTATTGGTAGTCGTCCAACAGAAAAATTATTCACTTCCATTGTTAAACGTATTGAAAATACAATACAAGAAGATATTTTTATACCACTCTATTCAAAAACGTAAGCATTATTATTATTATTACTGTTGTTCTTCTTATTATTAATGACGTTGTAGTGAACACGAACACCAGTGGGGACAATCGAATGTATTCGACACAAAATTACAGAACTTCTTAATAAAATCTAACAACCATGTAGTAAATGCCCAATTTGCAAAATGACCACCAATTGTCCCAAAATGGCCCAGACTTCTTTGTTCATGTTCGTTAAACATCCGACATCCACCCGGCACCTGGGACGTTTAACACCCGTGCTCCACTGGCCTGCTGAGCCATCTACATCCGATGTTCGCCCAGCAGCCGTATGTCCCACCGCTCACTCTCCGTCGACAGCACCTGTTGCAGCCAACGCCACCCCGTCAGAACACTCCGCTCGACGCCACCTCTCCGCACCAGACTGCCCCAACTAGCACCTCAGCTCCAGGACCGCAACGGCATCCGCAGAGCAGCACCCTTCCTCTCCTGGTTGGCAGCGACACGAAATGTAGCAAACGAGAAGACGAATGGAGACAGTCGAATGTGATTAATATAAAATTACAGAACTTGTTAATAAAATCTAACAACCATATAGTAAATGTTTAATTTACAAAATGATCACCAACTGTCCCAAAATGGCTCGGACTTGATTGTTCTTGTATTGTTACACAAATTGCATTCTGTTTCCATTCTTTACTGTTCGATCCTCTTGTCTCTCTGTTGCCAGACCTTCTGTTCACGACTAACATCATATATAACAACATATAACATCAATATAAGTAGCACACACCACAACCTTTTTTTAGGGAGTTAACTTGATATCGTGATGATATTTGGAGCGAACGGTACTGAGTTCAAATCTTAGAGTGTGAATATCAACACTGGAATGCAGGCACATCTAGATGACGAATCCCAAACAGCATGAAACACCTGTTCTGGATTCTACGGCTAGCCACCATCTATCCCTGCTTATAGTGCTTGTCACATAATGACAATATAGGAAAAAATCCTCACAGGATCTCCATATGCCTAAAAGACTGAAGAACTGCGATTTTAAAGATTAATGGGAAGACTATTCACAAACCAATACATACAAGCGGAAGTATTTATCGGGTTTTTGCGTTGATATCATCCGGTAATGGTAGTAGTAGTGTAGTGAATAAGAACTCAGGTGGAGACAACAAAATTACAGAGTTCCTTCATGAATTTTGCAAACCATACATTAAATATTTCATTTACAAATCCTCCATCAATTGTCTTAATCTTCATCGTTCCTTCATTGCTATTACAATTACTCTCTGTTCCTATTCTCTTCGATTCGATCTTCCCAATCTTTTACTTCCAGGTGTTCCACTTCTGATTGGTGTTACATACTACTTATGCTTGTCGACATAAGTAGCATACACCACAGTAGTATTGTTAGTAGTAGTAATTATTGTAATGTAATGTGCATCATAGGAATGTGAGTAGTATAACAATTATGCCTATTATCGTCGAAATTTTTTATCATTCAATTATTAAATGTTAATTAAACCAACATTCTGGAAATCTCCTACTCTCTCTCCCCCTTCATTTCTCTTAGAATAGTTATTGTCTTTTTGTTGTTGTTGTTTTGTTAAATAATTTGAAGACGTGATATTATTACAAACGAATTTCTTTTTCTTCTATTATGCAAATTGCTACATATCAGTAAACAAATAAGTAAATAAACGAAACACAATGATAACAAGTGTATTGTAGGAGAATGTATCAGAAAAAGATTGTCATTTAATTATGTCCAGAAGGGGTTTATGGAGATTTTTAGAAATTTCACAGATTGAAATCACGAATCAATTGAAGCTAGACTACCATGGAAAACTTGGAAGCACTGGACGGCCGTTTCGTTTTAGTATGGGACTCCTCGTCAGTGCGCATCCATGATCCCGCACCCCGCGAGACTCAAACCCAACACCTACCGGTTTCGTGGGTGAACACTTAACTTATAGACCACTGAGCTGGCATCGAATGGTGTTAATGTCTAACTTCAATCAATCCACGAAGTTGCGCCACCGTACACCATTTTCTTCAGTGAGCTGATATCTCACAACAGACCTGGTTGGATGCCAGCTCAGTGGTCTGGTTGGTTAAACGCTTGGCGCGAGACCGATAGGTCCTAGGTTTGAATCCCGTGGGATGCGGGATCTCCACAGTCTCCACAAACCCCTTCTGAACATAATTAAATGACAATATTTTTCTGATGATATTTTCGATTAAAGTATCTGGTTTCATTTACAACAAATGATTACTGTTAGTATGAAAATGAATTGTATCAGTAATGAAATAATTATTTCCAATAATAGAACTTTCAAAATCTTTACAGTTGTATAGTTTGATTGTTTAAAGTACTCATCTTTCATTCAATAGATACATATTCAAACACCATTCCATCTACTTCGAGGTATGTTATTTGACAAATAACTTGTATACATGGGTCATTATGAGCAGATGAATTATATGCACATTATATCAGTCGATGAAAATAACTTCTCATCTACACAGATTTGTGTTTGGTATCTTTAATTAACTCATTCATCAGGTACTTGAGTATGAGCTACACTTGAAGTGTAACGGCTGTTGATACTATTCAGATGACCGAAATTGCGTAGGTAGAACGGAATTTAATTCCCAATCATTAGACTACCTCTCCATAATTCAATGTAGGGTAACTGCACTCAGCTGTTTAGAATGCCTTCCATAGTTCGTTGTCACATCTCATGTTGCTCAAAGTTACTTGTGTTTTTTTTCTTTGCGTTGCCTTTTATTACAGTCTAATGCAACATCGTCAAGGTCCAGCTTTCATATTCTTCGAACGTCAATTTAACATGGGATTAAAGGTGATACTCTCTTTTTTATTGTCTAATTTCATAATCAATAGCTTTGTATTAAAATATTTTCTGTTGGAAAATTATACAGGAACTTTTAAAACAGTTAATCATCACTATGATATGATATCAACGTTCCGATTCATTTAAATGTTTACATCAAGACCTAACTTTAGTTATGTAGCCATTGGAAAGCAAAGAACTGAGCTTCCATTTCTTACTACTATGGAGCACTCCAACAATCCAGATCTTAGGTTTCGGTACCTAATCTCTGGGCAAAAATTTAATGTGGAAAACCTTGACTACAACCAGGTTAGTCATTTACCATCGAAGCTTAAATTCGTGCTCAACTAATAGAGGTTAGTACTGACAGTGATGTAGGTTCCATCGTTCACAAAGGGGTACACCAGTTCTCTTATATAGTTAAAAACACATTTTACTGACGAGGGACAGCTAGAGCAAAATATTCGGTGTTGTGTGGCCATATTGATCAATACTGAACGACTAAACGTTATGACATTGGATGTTTGTATCGGTGTAGCATACATTATATTGAAATTAATTATCCTTACCATATTACCATCCTATTGACTGGATGAAGTTTAAACTTGTTTCTAAATGTGGTTTCTTTATCCTCTACGTAGAATATTAATTAACACTGACAACGGTCTGACGTTCTGATAAACAGCCAGCTTGACACAGATGTGCGCTGGCTCATTCTGACACAACCTATTAGCACGACAAGGTAAAAAATAGTGAAAGAACATTAAAGTAATATATTAGCAGTGATAAAAAAAAGAGAGAGACTGAACGGTAGAAATCTGATTTAAAATGTCAATGGAAAGGTATATCTGACAGAGTATCGAAATTCAAGATCAAGGGGGGGGAGAAATAAACAATGAATGCATATACATCACTGAGAATGATTCTGATCTATGTCATTTAAATATCTTTGACTTCTGTTGGCAGTTATCACGCAAATCCCAACCAGATGGTTCACATTTACATCTATATGACTTAGTTCAATATTCAGTGATTACATGAATGAATACCACGTTTTAGTTTGACTTCCCCTAACAGTAAATTCATCAAACAAATTATATTTAGAGAGTCATACATTTAGATTGATGATCATTTTGTACGTGAGATTTGGTTTACTTATTTACTTACTTTTTTGTACATACACGTATTACCCCCTCGTAGAGGAGCCATAGGCGGCCGCCCACAAGAATTTTCCATTGAACTTTCATTCATATTCTCCTTTTTATAATTCATTTTAAAGTAACATTTTCACATTGGAATTAAAGTGTTACATTTCATTCTATTCATTTTTTCCCCACCCAGCTCTTAAAAAATATTCTACTATGGTCAAATCTATTGAGTATAGATACATTAAAACATATTACTCTTACTTGTTTAATAAATCGTTATCTTTTAGTTGGATTAGCTTGTTTATTATCAGTTGTTACACTTAAATCAAATGATGATAAATCTAATCTCATAATGAATTCATCATTTCCAACTAGTTTATCATCAATTGATCAATCAGGTTCATTAGCTTTTCGTGATGCTGTACAAAAATTAAAAATGATAGTTGATTTATTACCTCATGAATGGTTGAAATCATCAAGTCCTTCAGTAAAACAAGATGATAATAATAATAATAATAAGGATGATGATCGTGATGATGATGATGATGAATCTTCAAGAAAAGTATCATTCACTGGAATTTCAGATCCACTTAATCAAATTAAAAGATTTTTAACACAACTACTAGAAAATATACCACCGACTCGAATGTATACAGATATTACTGTTGGTCAAGCAGATATTCAAATCATTGAACGGTATGTGAAGGAATGACTGAGTTTTTTTTTAAAATTCTTAATATGAAATTAGTAACTGTTACTTTACTTACTTATTTACTTACTCAATGGAGCATAGGCCTCCTTTTTTTGTTGAAGAGTTAGTTTTCTACGAGATGAGGTCGCTTACCCCGATGCCCAACCCCCCTTCTTTATCCGGGTTTGAGACCGGCAATGGCCTAAGAGGAGGGCTCCAGGCGGAGTTATTAAATTAGTAATGATAATGCTAAATGAAAATTTTAAATAATGTTTTGTTCGTATCATATATATGCTATTAATCTCATGCTTACACCATTTACTTTTTTATACACACTTATCTACTTAATTATTATGAGTAGTGAGTTGTAAGTTTACCGTGATAAACGGTTGATATGTACAACTAAATTACAAAATTTAATGAGTATTATACAGATGTTATTGATGTTGTTAGGATATACAACTCGAATATACAAACATGTCCTAGTGTAGTTCTACAAGGTTTCGAAGAAAGCAGTTACAAGTTCCATTCTTAAACATATAATCGACTCCTAATCATTTCATTGACCTACAAGTTGATTTTAAGGCTGTTTATACGATTTGTCTAAATCTATTTAGATTTCTTCGTACCCAAGTCCTTAAAACAACTGCCGAAACTTTTAACATTCATGAGTTAAGGCTTAAAACTGTGTGTACAACACAAGTACATCTTATCCCTATCTATGGTTACCATGACCGTAAACATTATTATAGTTTGTATTTGTAAATATCCTTCTCTCCCCTTAATTATATTTCATATCTTTATGATTTTATTCATAACTGTTTCTGATATGACTTCATTTCACTGAACCTCTCTATTACCTTTAATTCTCATAACAAAAATGTATTGATCATCTTACTTCTTTCACATTATAATCCATTATTAATTTAAACAAACTTTCTATTTGCATACACATAATCTTTTATTGTTATTATTCACATTACGTAATCTAGTATTATAATTTTGAGATTATGGAAATTTCAGTGGAGTTCTGTTCTCTGAGGTGGCTGGTTTGATCATGGCAGTCTTCATCATTCTTCTGAACAACATCAACACAAGCTTCAGGTAGAAATGAAGTGTTCAAATTTCTCTACATATGACTCACAGCTTGTCTGGTAGACCTTGATTTTGATTGGTTATTGTTGACCTTTAACTTGTCATTGTTTACTTCTTTATCTTGATTGTATCCACGACTGATTTGATTCTTGGTTCTATGTTTGTCTATGGTTTTTCTGATTGATTGTGTTATATCTTGTGACCTGCGTGCCCTATTAATTGATATTGTAATAATACCACCAATTAGAGAGCAGTGAATTATTGATCGGACCAAGGACGCGTAAACACGTACGAGCAGCCTAGAGTCTTGATTGGTCCTGCTTTCCGGTTAACCCAGCTAATTAAGTCCAGAACACCAATCTCAGCTTCTGTGATATGAATCACTTATTTCAAACATACTCGGTTTATATACCAACCAGACAGACCACACCACACCATAAAATATGAAACAACATTTGTACAAGAATTAGCCAAATGTGGCTGTGAATATGGCAGGTAGTAATTGATAGACAAGGCATAATTCAAGAATGGTAAATCGTAAAATAATAGTTCATAGGTCAAAGTAAAGCTCATAATAAGAAGGACATGAATACGAACAGTTTAGTTATTTAACAATTATACGATAGAAATCTACGTATAGTATTTGTCCATAAATGGATTCCAAAAGTTACCATTCATTATGCTTATCGGGACATAATAGGTTGATAGATTGAATCAATTTCAATGTGCTTATTGACTGCTGATTGACCTAAGTGCCAAACTTCTAAAAAATTCTCTGGTGTTTCTAGAATTGCCTCTATCAAAGATCTCAACATTTTCCCAGTCGAATGTGTGTTCACAGTTATCCACGTGCACTGATATAACCGTGGATACGTTACGGCGTTTGACCACTAATTAATGTTCGTGCAAGCGAAGGTGAAGTGAGAGTGTCCACTTTATCTGATGTAGTATTTTCCGCAGTTGGAACAATTTATTTTGTAGATGATATTCGGTTTTTCTTCTTTTCTTATTTCGTCATTTGGTTTACATAGGAATGATTGGAGTGATTTTGTAAGTTTGTTTTCTACACCTATTCCAAAAGGCTTTAATAATCTCACAATTTATGATGTATCTTTTATATATAGTAGAATGATCCTTTTATTGGTTTCTGTACCTGGTTTTGTTTCTGCTGATGCGTTGGGTTGATATTTTCTAATGAAGTTGGTTAATTATCCGTTCTTTTGAAAGCTATTTTTCCGCACTTCAAGTGTGTTGCATCGTGCTTTTGCCTTCTTGAATAGGGTTTGCACTCAGTTGATTTTAGGAGTTCTTGGGTTGTTGCTACTGTAATTGAGGATTTGATCTGTATAGATTGGCTTTCCATATAACCGAGTCTCTAGTTTTCCTTTGTCGTTTCTGGCGATTAGTACATCCATGATGAAGGCTCGACTAGCTTTCGCCAACTTGCGTCATTTATGGCGTAGGCGAGATATCCGTCTATCAACCAAAGGACGGGTTTACTGCGCAGCGGTTCGTTCCGTCCTACTTTATGGCAGTGAAACGTGGCCGGTAAGAGTAGAGGATATTTGTCCGTTACTGGTATTCGACCATAGATGTCTTCGAAATATTGCTCGTATATCCTGGGACCATCGAGTAAGTAACGTAGTTGTTAGGAAACGGGATCTAGGTAAGGATGGCAAATCAATTGATAAAGTAGTGAAACATGGCACAAGTCCATGAAGTTGTTGACAAGTGGACTGAGCCATGTTGGTAGGTGTAAACTACCTAGCTGGGATCCGCGAGACAATAGCAACCGATGGTTAGAGACCCTGAATGACAGCTTAAAATCGTTTGCAATGGCGCAAGTTCATCCACTCTTTGTGTTCTCCCAATTCCTAATCTTCTGAATTCTTCATGTCCCTTATTTTCTTTCTAAATTTATTTCACTGTATTATACTCCATGAATAACATCTTCAAGTCATAATGTTTCCGATAACTGCTTATACTCTTACTACCTCTACCACTACGGGATTTGAATGACCAAGTGCATCTCTGTGCTCATTTGATGTGGAATCTCGAACTGATGTACGTACGTACGAAGTTCTACGTTGTTACTGACTAACATCCATGATAAAAGGAATGTAGATACATAATTATCTAGTTAATTAGTAATTACACAACAATACAATAATTTTCACAGTTGAAATCACAAGTGGAACTTAGTTAGACAACTATTAAAAATCTGGAAGCACTGAACAGTCATTTCGTTCTAGTATGGGACTAGGTAGTACCTGTCCACGATAATTAATAGTAATGCGAAAAATCAATTCTAACATCTGTAATATTTACTTCATTATAACAACGATAATATTAATAATAATCTTTGTTATTGTTATTGCAGGGAATGCATGGGAACTTTGTTACAACTAAGAGATTTATTGAAGAATTAATCCTATATCCATGATAAGAAACTTACATTACATTCAAGTGTATGTATTTGTGTGTCACTGCATATATGTACATAATTTATTTTAAATAATTTCATAAATGAGTTTTGAAAACAAGAATTTAAAGGTGATTCCATCCACAAATACATGTGAACTTGTAAAATAAAGAAAAAGTACTAAAGATTCCTTTTTACTGCGTCGTTTTTTTTCTTTTTCTGAATATTATATGTATATATATATATTTCAGTGGTTGAAATCATGAGTCAATTGAAGCTAGACCACCATGGAAAACCTAGAAGTAGTGGACAGCCGTTTTGTCCTAGTATGGGACTTCTCAGCAGTGCGGGGGGTGGAATCATGGATGCGCACTGCTGAAAAGTCTCATACTAGGGTGAAACGGCCGTCCAGTGCTTTCAGGTTTTCCATGATGGTCTAGCTTCAATTGACTCATGATTTCAACCAGTGAAATTCATAAAAAATCTCCACAAAACCCATTCTGATAATATATATATATATATATATATATATATATATATATATATATATATATATATATATATACGTTGGGTTGTGTATAGTGTTCTCCTGTCTCTGGTTGTATTATCAATCAGTATCTGACGTGTTTGAATTATCTGTCCAGACTTATTATTATTTTTATTCGATTTTATGATATGCTCTATTTTATTATGATTAAACAATGACATTGGTGAATTAACAATAATGAAGTTTTATATGTTGATTTTATTACGAATGAAAAAAGAAAAGCACTACGTAATAGGGCTGTTACTTGCTTACAGTTCGTGTTATTTTACGATAGTTTTATGTAATGATGATATATAGTTTACTATAATGATCATTAATGTATATATATATATATATACCCGACCGTTGTTGCTACCTTGACGTGGTGGTCGGGCTTGGCTATCGTGATGAAGCAACCGAGCTATACTGGCTGGAACAACCGTTCCTCAAGGTCCTATCATGTCAGACAGGTCGGTTGAAGAGCGGTAAGACTAAAAGCAACAAACCCAAGGTCCGAAGGCGAAGTCGTACTGCTGACTGTACAGAGGTGTGACAGCAGTAAGGTGTTTTTTCAGACAACCAGCATGACAGCGATGCTGCCTTCCCACAAGGAGGGGTGGGGTTAGAAAAGGTCGACCCTAAAAACACGCACCTTACCTTACCTCACGGATTTCCGTCTCCGGCGGTAAGGCCCTTTGAAGAACGGAGCTAACACGTCAAAAACCTTCCACGAAAAGGCTGTGTCGCCGAAACACGCATACAGGATTCCAGTGTGGTCATTCACTTGACCTCACCTCGGCAAAACGGAGAGCCAGCGAGATACACCCTATGTGTATCTGGTGACCCGATGGCCAGTTCTCGTGGACTGGCAGGTGTAGGCATAGCACTAAGCATGAGGGCGGAACAAGCACTGTTAGAGTGGATCCCCGTCAACAGTCGTCTATGTGCTGTTCGGCTGAACGGCTACGTAAGAACTCGGAAGGATAGGGACACACGTCGTTGCCTTTTTGTCGTTTCTGTCTACGCTCCCACTGACTGCAGCTCAGATGAAGTGAAAGATGAATTTTACAGAAAGCTTTCTGAACTTCTTCAGAAAGCTAAACGCTCAGACATAGTACTCGTAGCAGGTGATTTTAATGCTCAGATAGGTAGCTTAAACCAAACAGAAAGGCATTTAGGTGGATATTTTAGCATTCCGGCACAGCGAACAGATAATGGTGACCGTCTGCTGCAACTGTGCTCAGACAATCGTTTATTTTTAGCAAACACAAATTTTAAGCATAAGGAGAGACATCGTCTAACGTGGTGACCGCCTGCACCAAACCAACGATGGACTCAAATAGACCATATTGCCATCAGTCATCGTTGGAGAGGGTCGGTACAAGATTGTCGCTCATTCTGGAGTACCTGCTTGGACTCCGACCACGCCCTAATACGGGCACGCATCTGCTTGCGCCTCACTGGACGCAAAAAAGCCACAGTAAAAAGACCCATTAGAACCGAACTGAGTAGCGAGGAAACCAAAAGTAGGTTCCAGGAACAATTGAGGTCACGATTAGGTAGTTCTGAAGACGAGGCTGACCCAGATGTTGCTTGGAATGAAATACAAGTAGCTGTGGAAGCAGCAGTGACATCTATTAGCGACTTAAACCACAGAGTTTCAAAGAACCAGTGGATTTCTTCAAAGTCTATCACACTGATGGATTCTCGCAAACTCGTCCCATCAGGTTCCGAACATAATGAAGAGCGACAACAAATCAGATCTAAGTTAAGAAAAAGTCTAAGAAACGACCGTGAGCAGTGGTGGGCAACGAAAGCAAAAGAGATGGAAAAGGCGGCGACTATAGGGAACACAAGACAGCTTTACAGACTAATAAGAGAAACTGGAATTAATAAGTCAAGTGTAAGTGAGATTATATCGGAAAAAGACGATACACTCATCTGCTCCCAGTCCAGGCGTTTAGAACGATGGGCGGAACATTTCAGAGAACAGTTCAGCTGGCCTTCAGCTACTCTACAACATTGAAGTAGGTCCCCCAACTCTTGCTGAAGTTCAAAAGGCTGTAGTTAATCTGAAACGAGGAAGGGCAGCTGGTCCAGATGAATTGGCTCCGGAGGTCTTTAAGGATGGTGGCCCAATTTTAGCGATTAGGTTGACTAATATTTTAGCTAAAATCTGGGAGTTAGACGTTATTCCATCTAACTGGTCACAATCACTTATCGTCCCAATATATAAGAAAGGGTCAAAATCATCCTGTGACAACCATAGAGGGATTTGTATAACTAATATAGTATCTAAAATACTAGCCTCGATAATTATAAGACGCCTAAGACTCGTGAACTGCAAACACGAGAGAATCAAGCTGGCTTTAGACCTGGTCGTGGCTGCATCGACCACATATTCACCATTCGTCAGATTCTAGAACACAGGCATACTTATCGGCGTCCGACAATGGTGATCTTTCTTGACTTAAAAGCAGCATTTGACTCGGTAGACCGCGAGATTCTGTGGCAGTGTCTGTCATTGAAAGGCGTACCTCAGAAGTACATAAACCTTGTAAAGGCTCTTTACTCGAACACTACTAGTCGAGTCAGAGCTTATGGCGAACTGTCATCTGTTTTGCAACCTCAAGTGGTGTCCGTCAAGGCTGTCCACTTTCTATTTTTGTTTAACTTCATCAGAGACCTATTGATGGAAATAACATTCTCATCTACTGAATTCTCGCGTATTGATCTCCTTCCAGGAGGTCCACTTGTCGACTTAGAATACGCAGATGACATAGTCCTGTTTGGTGAAGACGCTGATAAAATGCATAGTCTTTTGGTAGCACTGAGCAACAATTCCGGAATGTTTGGAATGCGCTTCTCTCCCTCTAAATGCAAGTTGTTGCTTCAGGACTGGTCTGCGTCAACACCTGAACTAAGGATAGGGAGTTAAGTAGTCGAACGCGTCGACAACTTCACTTATGTTGGAAGTCTGATCAGCCCTAATGGGTTGGTATCGGACGAAATCTCAGCACGGATTCGAAAAGCTCGATTGGCTTTTGCCAACTTACGTCACCTATGGCGAAGGCGAGATATCCGTCTATCAATAAAAGGGCGAGTATACTGCGCGACAGTCCGTTCTGTCTTACTTTACGGCAGCGAAACATAACCTTTAAGAGTAGAAGACACCCGTAAGCTACTAGTATTTGACCACAGATGCCTTAGAAATATTGCTGGCGTCTGCTGGGATCACCGGATAAGTAATAGTGAGGATAGACACAGGATATTGGGGAATGATGGTAAATCAGTTAATGAGGTGAATCTTCATCGACTCAGATGGTTGTGCCATGTGTTGCGTGTACATGAACACCGATTACGATGACGCGCAATGCTAACCGGTGTTGGAAATGGTTGGAAGAAAGTTAGGGGTGGCCAAACCAAAACGTGGCATCAGTGCTTGAAGTCACTAACTTCTGGTCTGAACCATGTTGGTAGATGCAGACTACTTGGTTGGGGTCCGCGTGACTGTTGTGGATGCAGAGGAATAGACCAATAATTATCATGTTAAGTTCAATGGTGTCCCTGGACTTTAAATAGATATTTTCTATTGGTCGATATCTGTTCACTTCTTGAATATTGTACAAAATGTTGTTTTCTATTTTATGGTACGATGTGGTATGCTTGATTGGTATATAAACAAAGTATGTTTGAAATGTAATGATTCATATCTCAGAGGTTGTGGCTTGTGTTCTGGACTCAACTAACTGGGCTAGACAGGGAAGTGGGACCAATCGAGACTCTAGGCCGTCCGTGCGTGTTTACGTGTCACTGTAGTCGATCGATAACGCAGAGTAAAAATCGACCTCAACATAAAGCCCTAACAGTGACTATCGTAACCAATGGTTGGAGACTCTTGGTGACATGGCTCAGAATCTATTACAATGGCGTCGGTGTATACACTCCCTGTCTTCCCTTAAATTAAGAGATTAAAATCGCTTCATATCTTTCTTTCTACGAACCAATTCTTTTTTCTTGTACTATATCTCTATATGCAATTTTTCTCCTACATGTTACTACCTTTGACCTAACCACTGCTATGAATCCGGTGTTCATCTTGTTGTGCTGATGCGGTATGGGAACTTGGACCGACGCACATATGTGCCTGGTCCTACGTTGTAGCTGACTGACTGACTGACTGATATATATATATATATATATATATATATATATATATATATTATATATATATATATATATATATATATATATATAGCCCCCAAATGCCCTGGTACGGACGAGAGTGAGGAGAATCCGCTCTCCCTCTCGAAATGCTCTTACATTGCCACGCGTATATAGCCTCTGCCAGGGAAGTCCTACTCACTGCGTTTTCGTGGCGGGGGTGTTGTTTACGAAAATGAGATGACGAAAAGCGAATGTCCGGCGCTTTAACCGGGTTGGTGAATATGGAGAGTTCACCTAGAGGAGTTGGAAAACCC